CCCATGTTTTGGATTAGTTTCAAAAAAAAAACTCATACAATTACTCACTACCTATGAATAAGACAAGGAACTTCCTCAAATCTGAGTTTATTCCTTGCAATTACCCTTGGGATAGTAGAGAGGTGAGAATCCTGCCACTCTGACCAACAGGCCTCAAATGAGAATTAGGAGAGATTAACTGTAGATATAGAAAGCTATGTCATCACATCATTCCAAACTTTTAGAGCAAAAGAACATTTGAAGAATAAATGGTCCAAAGAATCCTCCTCCACCTTGCACAAACAACACCAAGAGCGGCCCCTCAACCCCTTGAGTTTAATAATTTCATTAGTTGGAAGAAATTTTTAAAATAGTTTCCAAAGAAAAAAAAACATGGAGGGGGTGAAGAATTTGTTCCAAAAATAATTCCCCCAATTTAGTTTTGCCCAACCCTACAAATAGGTATAAACGGAGGAAGAAATGGATTGAGAACAAGATTTCTTCAAAATGCTTTTATCTTTAGTGGTATTATCAAAGGGGTCTTCATGATCTCTGGAATCAAACCAAGAGGAATAGTAGTAGACAGTAAAGAGGCATTGTATTCATTTTCACACCGAAAATCAGCAACCTTGGAACTGAGATTAGCATGTTCTGGGACTTTATGAATGAGTTTACCTTCCATCGACCAATTATCCAAGCAAAAATTTACTTGACCTGTGCCTAATTTCCAAATAAAGAGATCTGCAGCATGAGCTCTAACTTTTAGTAAATTTACCCAAATTTTGGAATCTCCTAACTTCCTGGTAACCATAGAAGGGTGGGTTCCTTTGCAGTATTTTTCCATCATAAATTTTTCCCACAAAGATTCTTGTTGTCTAAATTTGATCAGAAATTTGCATAAATTCACTTGGCATAAGTGATTTGGACCCTTAAAGCCCAATCCTCTACAGAAATAGGTTTGCAAACCTTTCGCTAACTAACCCAGTGCATTTGCTTCCTTTGTCAACCCATAAAAACCAATTGAAACTCCTTTCCATTAATCTCCGTGTACACTTTTTCATGGTCGTCATTTGCATCATATAAGATGGAAATGAAGTTAGAATGCTTTTGAGTAAGGTAATTTTGCCCCCATTGGAAAGAAAGGAAGAATTCTAGCAATTGAGTTGTGTTGTATTTTAATAAACATACCCTCATATTGAGTTTGTTTTGTTCCGCCTTTTAGGAGTTGGACCCCCAAATACTTCAGAGGAAGAGAACTTACCCGGAAGTTAGTAAAATCAGTAACCCAATGTCTCACATCAATTTTAACATTCCGACTGAAAAGAATAAGGCATTTTTTATTGTTAAAAGAAAGACCAGAAGTGTCTTAAAATTCTTGAAAGCACTTAAAGAAAAGTTTGATAGCAGATTTAGATGCTTTAGAGAAGATAATCTCATCATCAGCATATGCTAGGTGGGAGATATATAAGGTGGATCTATGACTGAATTGTATATGAGGATATTGATAAAATTTAGAGTTTAACATCCTGGAAAAATAATTAAAAGAAAAATTAAATTAGGTAGGGGAGAGAGAGTCGCCTTGTTTCAGCCCCTGGTAGCTTTGAAGTAGCCATAGGGATACCCATTGATAAGAACATAATTCATATTATTGTTAAGCCACCTCATGATCAAATTGGAAAAGTCCTCAGAAAAGCCCCTGGACTTCAGAACATTAACAATGAAATCCCATCTAATTGTATCATAAGCCTTCTTCAAATCAAATTTGAAGATTGTGTTTCCCCTCTGCACATTTTATCCAAATCCAATAGGAGTTCCTGTGATAGCAACACATTATCAGCAATATTCCTCCCTTCCACAAATGCAGATTGATTCTCACTGATCAAACAAGGAAGATGAGGTTGGATTCTATACATAATAATTTTACTATTGACCTTTCTTAAGACATTAGTCAAACCGATTAGTATATATCCTTCCCAATTAAATCTATTAATCTCCATTGGAATCAGAACATTGCAAAAGAAATAAAATAAGTATAAGGATCCACCCCTCTAAAGAAATCTTGAACAGCAAGAATAACATCATGCTTTGTTATGGACCAAGTCTTCTTATAGAATTCTGAAGTAAAGCCATCAGGTCCAGCAGTTCTATTGCTGTCAATGGAGTTGATTTCTTGTCAAATATTTGGTTTATCTGGAATAGAGGTGAGATGCAATGGATTAGTGTAATCATAATTTAACCCATTGATTAAGGGCCCTTTTGGATTTTGGTACCTTAGTTATGAAGTGAAGGGCAATTAAAACACCTGAGAAGAAAATGTGTAATTTTTTTCAAATTTTATTTATTTTAAAAAATTATCTTAACTTAGAAAATAGGGTTTTCAACATTACTTTATTTAATCAATCAAAATAAAGTTTTTATTTATGAAAAAAAAAATTATTTGAGGTTCCCTTAGGTCAGAGAAACACTTAGACAAAATTCCATAATTTTTTTAAATTAAATTTTAATTTAATTTTATAATTATCTATTGATTTTTTAAATAAAAAAATATTTTTTAATTACAAAAATTATTTTTCATATTTTTATTAAACCTCTTTGAGTCTAATGAACCCAGAGAAATAACTTTTACATTTTTATGATTTTTAATTTATTTATTATAATAATTTTAATGGGAAAATAAGAAAAATACATTTTTAGGCCTTTAAGAATTTATTTTTAACTTAGAAAAATATTTTAATGAGTCCTAAATGATCAGGAAACCATTAGACACATTTTGAAATATTTTTGAAATTTTTAATTATTTTTAATTTAAAATATAGTTAAAAAATGAAGTATTTTTTTCAAAAATAATTTTTACTTTTCCTAAGTGCTCATGATCACAAGGAACTCAGAAAACCACTTTTCATAATTTTCCTAAGTGTATTTAATTTAATATAATTATTTTTGTACAAAAATATAATTTTTCTCATAAAATTAACTTTAGTGTTCAAATTTAATCAAATAATTTTAAAATTTTTATAGTAAGTCAACATGATTTTTCTACATAATGTGGAATTAATTTTATTAATTTTTTATAAATATTTAATTTAAATAAATTAATACAAATTATAAACATTTAATTAACTATAGATAAGTACAAAATTATTCAAAGCATCATGACATTTTTCCTAAGTTTCTTTGACCACAGAAACCCTACTAAAATTTATCTCATAGTTTTTCAAGTGATTTTAATTTATATAATTAATTTAAGCCAAAATAGTCATCTAAGCTTGAAAATTAGGGTTTCAAACATAGGGATGCTCCTAACCTTGGAAAAATCCAAGAATATCTCCTCTGTCATGAGGAACAAACACTAAAAATCTCAAGCTATGGTGAGGAATATTTAATAAAAATTAATTAAAATACCACATAGAGTTCATATTGGTTTTAGATAATAGGATGAATCTGTCTCAGTAAGCTTCAACATTAAACCAGTGGCAGAATAATAGTATTGATCACAGAATTTATGCTTCCACATGCACAATGTCATCTCCATGATGCATACAAAAAATTTTAGCAACACATGCATCGAGATGATTTTATAGAAATTTAAGATGTCCATTAACACGTTGCAAGGAAGAAGTTGCAATCCTAATATGAATTGGTCATTATAGAAGAGGAGCTTATCATCATATGTTGCATTTGGTAATTCTCCCTTCTTGGCGACGCAAAACTTAATTGAAAAACATAACATTAATGAAAAAGATATACAAAGGTCCATCAAATAACTAAAGCAAAAAGAAATGGACTATGAAGTAATCAACTAAAATTAAAAAATATTTAGTCAATCATCACTCTGTTAGAATAGAAGTAAAAATTCTAATATAAATTTCTTTAATGACTTAAATGTAAGCAATATCAACACCTTTCTTTTCTAAAACTCCCTAAATTACTCTCTTGATACCTTATCATAAGCTTTTTCTAAATCAATAAAAATCATATACATATCCTCCATACTTTTAACATAATTCTCCATCAAACCTGTCAATAAATTCAACATAGTAGATTTGCCTTGCATAAATTTAAACTAATTTGGGGATTTTTTTGCATCATGTTTGTAACCTACAATAACCATTCTCATAACTTATATTCAACTGTCTCTCTCATAACTTTGATGTATCACACATTAACTTCATTGATTTAATTTGCACTCCTATATATACTCTTTTTCTAAAAAAGTAAAAAAACAATAGACTCTTTCACCGCTTATTAAACATCTTTTTAAATTTAAAAATAATATTAAAAAAGACTACTCAACCAAAAAAATCTTATTCTTCTAATTACTTTCACTTTTATTGATGTTCTATCAAGTCCTATATTTCAAACACTCATTTTTTTAAAGCCTCTTCTATTTTTGAAAAACTACCAACCAAAAAAGTCTCGACTTCCAACTAATACGACGATGATAATGAAAAAAAATTTTATTATTATTTAAGATAATAAGATCATTAAAATCAATCAATTTTTTTTTACAATCTTTTTTAAAAAAATTTAGGAAAATATCTTATCCACCTATATTGAAATATCTTTTTCAACTTAAAAAAAAAGAAAATTTGATTTTTATCGTTAATATATTTAACATAAACTAAAACTTTTTTGCTTTTGTTATAATTTTACAGTGCAATTTAAAACCTTACAAATTCTTAGCATCACACGATTTTTAGAAGACTATATGCTAGAATTCAAATTTTAAAGGAGCGAGCATAGCACAAATTCATAAATTCAAGCATTTGATGCACCCAATAAACAAAATGTTTAGAAGGCTGAAAAAGATGCATCAAAATAATATAACTAATATAAAAAAAATTCCAAGAAATAAATTGACCAATTCGTAACATCAATAAAATTTAAAAAGAAAAAAAAAGGAAAATATCCAAATAATCAAATTAACAACTCATATAACAAATTAATCATTAATGACAATCAAATTAAAAAAAGGAAAATATGGAAATACTTAATGGAGAAAAGAATTCATAAAACAAAAATAATGACAATCATGAATGACACAATTTAATTTCTTTCCTAAGCAGCAAACCATACATACTCCATAATGTTTTCAATTTAAGTTTCGACATGACAACATAACATCAACAAAAAAGGACTTTCACATAAAACTGGGGCAAACAGGCCCCTTAGAAAGGCCAAAGCGAACTTCCATGCCGTGATGCATGTCAAGCGGGCGGAATGTCTCAGAATCTTGAGGCACTGTAAACGTTAAAACTAGAAATCAAATAAGATTTAAAAAGGAAAAGTATGGATGAATAGAGTTTGTGCCAGGAAATCAAGCTCCATTAAAATATTAAATTTTTACACAGCATTATGGGTATTTATGACCGATCGATGCAAGGTTGGCTCATCCCAACCCCATCACACAATATGTTTACTTCCGAGAATCTGAAGAGTAAGCTAAATCTGAAACCAACGTCAGCTTAAAATAATAAACAGTGGTGAAGCCCTTAGAATCATATTTACTGCAAATTCAAAATGAGTTGAAAGCTGATAAGAAAAAAGTGTTGGGTAGATTATAACGCTTTTTAGCCGGCTTGGAAATGTGTGAAAACAGAAACCAGCCAGAACAATGCAACACCCCTCAAACAAACCTAAAACTAAATGATTTTTTATCAATTTCCGTGCATAACATTAGCATAAATAAAACATTTATTCAGTTTCTAAAGATCATGCAGTCATTCACATGAACAACGAACAACAGTTCATAAAATCACAAAACTTTGGGATTCTTTGGAGTTTCTCCAGCAAAAAAGTAGAGAATCCAATCATTCCTGCTCACTTTTTCTGAAGAAATTGTATAATGGTAAAAATAATACCGTGAAGAAAGATGATATGAACTTCTATGCAATATTCTTTCGATTATAAATCTCTTTTTTCCATCAAGCATTCAGAAACCAATCATGTGTTTCAAATTAGTGCCCCAATATTAACTAATGCACCATTACTACATCCACTCTATTACACACTTCGGTAGCTTTAGGCTCAACTTCGTACTGAGTTAGAGAAATAACTTTTTCGTAAAGATTATTTTAGAATTATATGAGTTATAGTTGTTAGTAGAAAATTATTGCAGCACTCATAGTGATTAAATCTCAAAAAAATATCATTATAAATTGATAAACTAACCTTAAACTTGTAATTAATTAGAAAATATTTATTAATTTATAAACACGTTATTTTTTAAAGCAAAAACCTCTCTTATATAAAAACTATTAATGCTTTCATTCAGTCGAACCTTTTCTTACAGCAGCAAAATGCGGCAACCTAAAATTGCACCGTGGGAAGAAGCAAGCAATAAAAGGCATTACCAAATGAACCTTTAGCTCCTGCTTAAGCCCAGTTTTTTGTTGCTTAAGTGTCAAACAATAGAATACTCGTCACCAACGAATTTTCAAGAAAATCTCTGCTCAATGCTCCCCTTCCCAAGGTGCGACCTAAGCTAAGGGCCCTCCCACCTTTACATAGTGCAGTTGTGGCTCTCTGTAGATATCTCTGCCTTAATCTTCTTCTTCACAAGTTCAATGATGGGCTTCTTCTCCACCAGTCCCCCCTCCATTAACTTAACGATAGTGTCATATCTCAAAAAACCATACTTATAACAGCAATCTGCCTTCTTGTTGTTGACTATAACATGGAGAAATCAAGGGGCAATTTCCTCTGATCTCTCCTTATTCGCCTCTTGGCCCAGGTTTTCTGGCAGTGACCCAATCCCCTGATTTCTCTCTCCATTTATAGTTTGTAGCTGTTTGCTCCTTTTTTTTTTCAATTTTTTTGATGAATTAACAAAGTTTGCCTGTAATTGCAGGTTAGATAACTAGGATTCACTGCCCTGAGTTTTGGATCATTTGTGTTGTTCCTTTCATAAAATTCAATGGGCTGTGATTCAATATTCGGTTGTGATACTGAATGCAAAAATTTGCTGAGGTTACTGGGAAGCAATATACCGCGCAACTTACAATGGTCTATTTTAGCAATTTTGAATCCAACAGAAAAATTGACTAAACAAGCAAAAGTCATCATCGAAATTCAATATTGCTAGGAAAGGCAGACCTAATATATTTGACGTGATAGATTGCATTATTAATTATGCTGAAGGACATTCAATGTTGGGTTGAGAATAAGGTATTGTGCTTTATCTTTTACATGTCTTTGCACGTGACTTGTCACGCTAATTCTTTTTTCGAACATCACATAAATTACTTCCATGAATTTTCATTACAAAACTAGCACGATGTCTTAACATGAAAGTAATTAAAGATAAATAATGTGAAGAGATGTTATTGTTGCTACACTCAGCTTAAATGCTGACGATGTGATGATCTGATTAGGAGAGTATAAGTTTTAGACTCGATTTATGTTAAGAAAGGTAGATGTAGAGCTAAAATGACTTGGACATACTGTATAAAAATGATCTTAATTTATTAGACTTAAATAAAAATATGACACTCAATAGGATGCAACAGAGATAGCCGACCCCACTTCATGGGATAAAGGCTTGTTGTTGTAGTTGTAATGTGATGAGATGTGTTATCATTAATATTCTAGTTACATGTGTTGATCTTCTCTTCTTTTATTTGGGTTCTTAGTAAATCTAATTAGCGGACACGGTAAACTTATTATGCTCACATAGTACCCCCTTGCCGTGATTTTATTCCCAGTAAGTTATAACGACCAGTTGAGAGTGCAAATTGTCCATTCTTTGCCAGAAACTAATTCAAATAATAATTGCAGATAAATATAGTGTACAGGAAAATAAGATTGTAGTCGATGTGTTGAGAAGATGAGATCAAATGCAAGCTTCTCCAAGATCGGTCACTGTAGTTCAACTCTACAGTGTATATTGCAAATATAATAATGGACACTGCTTCTTTCCATCTTAACAAATTAGCATAGAGCTAATTGCTTCTCCAACTCTAAGATGCAATGTTTTTCATTTAGCGGTGGGCATTTGAAATAAAGGCGGCGATGATAACAATGAATTCAACTCTTAGAATGTTTTCAAACAATCATTCTATTCAAATAGCTTGATGCTTTCAAGGAATGACGAGCACTTTTAACATTGATCTAAATTGGCACAGTTCAGTCATTTGACCAGTTAAATTTTGTAGCTCCTTGGAGTTTTTGAGAGACATCATCTTCAATATTGCTTTCGACTTATTTTTGTTCAGCTTTATTCCTCCAATGGTGAGTAAGAATTCCAAAAAATTTACTGATCCATCTCCAAGAACTTCAAAATAGTGGACTGCTTCAAGTTGAGCATATGATGTTCAAAATTTTTACTCTTCACTGGCAAGTTTTTCACAAATAGCTCCATAATTATTCATTTTTGCTCCTTGAATACAACAACAACAAAACCTTTATCCCACTAAGTGGGGTTGGCTACATGAATCCTTTTCCTCAATTTATTCCTATTTGGTGTCATATTTTCATTTAATTCTAGCAAATTAAGAATATTTTTTTAAACAATATGCCTAAGTCGTCCTAGTTGTAACTCTGCCTTTCTTAACATAAGTCGAGTCTAAAACATCTACTTTTCTAATCAGATCATCAGATGGTTGGCGTTTAATGTGAAAAAACCATCTAAGACGACTCTCTCTAATTTTGTCTGTCACAGGAACAGCACCAACCCTATCACGGATATATTCATTTCGCATTTTGTCTCTATGTTTAAAGCCACTCATCGACCTAATCATTCTCATCTCGACAACACTTAACTTAGTTTTATGCTTCTCTATTAAAGGCCAACAATAAGCGTCATAGAGCATTGCAGGTCTCACCACTATTTTATAAATTTTCCTTTCAGTCTAAGCAGTACTTTTCTATCACATAATAGGCCCGAAGCATTCCTCCACTTCGACCAACCAACTTGAATTCTACTAATAGCATCCCCATCAATATCACCATCACTTTGAACAATAGACCCTAGATAAAGTGTTCGCACCTTTTAATAATTTGATCACCCATAGTTACATTTCTATCAGTAAAGCTACTACTACTAAAATTACATTCCAAGTCTTCAGTTTTAATTCTACTCAAACGAAGGCCTTTAAGATTGACCTCCATAATTCAAGTTTTTCCTATGCTTTTTCTCTTATCTTATCCACGATAAGTATATCATCAACAAAAAGCATATACCAAGGTACATCCTCCTGTAAGTGTCCAGTAAGACCATTCATAACTAAAACAAAAAGTTATGGGCTTAAAGCTAATCCCTGATGTAAACCAACAGAAATAAGAAAATAAATAGGTCAATCCTCCTGTTCTAACACAAGTAACAACTCTTGTATACATATCTTTAATGACTTAAGTGACGTGAATATAATTCATATCAACTCCTTTATTCTCAAGAACTCACCAAATGATATCTCTTGGAACCTTATTGTAAGCTTTTTCTAAATCAATAAAAATCATATGTAGATCTTCCTTATTATCTCTAAACTTCTCCATCAAACCTCTCAATAAATGTATAGCCTCTATAGTAGACTCGCCCGACATAAATTCAAATTAATTATGGGAAATCTTTGTAATACGTCTTAACCTATGTTAAATTACCCTCTCCCAAAATTTTAAAGTATGACAGATCAACTTACTTCCTCTATAATTTCCACTCTCTTGTGCATTTCCTTTATTCTTAGAAATGGGGACTAAAATACTCTTCCTCCACTCCTTAGGCATTTTTTTAGTTTTTAAAATAATATTAAAGAGTTTAGTAAGCCAAGAAATTCCCAAATCTCCTAAATATTTTCACAAATATTTCTCCTAAATATTTTCACACTTCAATTAGGATATCATTAAATTATATTGAATTTCTTTAAAGCCTCCTCAACTTCTTTTTGACTAATGTGACAGTGAAAATGAAACAATTTATTATTATTAATGATGTTCAGATCACTAAGGTCGAGCATATTTTTCGAAACTTCATTAAAAGTCTATCAAAATAACTCATCCACCAATTTTGAATATCGTTTTCTAAGAAAATAACTTTTTGAGTTTCATCTTTAATACAGTTTTTGATTAAATCTTCACTTTTCTTTTCTCTTTCTTTGGCTAGTTTATACTTATATTTTCACCCTCTTTAATATCTAATCTATTATAAAGATCACTAAAAGCAGAATTATTGTCTTAGACTTTCTACGGGTCGTTTAATATTTTTCTCAGTTTTCTAAGCTTTCACATTTAAACCAAATTTTATAACA